CGGACGCGCCTCTCTGCGGGCCGGCGCCGCCGCCCTCCCCCAGCGAGACCCTGCGCTCGGGGGTCCACGGAGTCTCTACCACCGGGGGCGCTCCGAACCGTTCCTGGCCGGGCTGGGCCGGGCTGGGAGCCTCCAGCGAGAGAAATCTTTGTGAGCCAGTGGGTGAGAGGGAGAGGAAGCGGGAGCCAGCGAGTCCGGGCATCGCGGGCGCAGCCTGCGGGGGGAGGGCGGGAACCCACAGCCCGTCAAGCCAAGACCCCCACTCCGTTGAGAGCTCCTGGTATCCAGGCACTCTTTTCCCCCCATCCTATCGACACACCCGCCAGGACACCGTCTCTATCTAGACCCGCTCTGGGACACACCCAGAGACACACAAAGACTCACTGGCTTGTGGCCCGTCACCCTCGCCCTCAGACGCTTGCACACTGCATCCCAGATGCACATTCGCACACCATCGGGGCGCACACACATTCCATCCCTGGCATACACACTTTCGTGGTCACACACTCATTCCTCACGCAGGCACTGCTTACCCTGGACACTCACGGTCACCCCACACCCACACACCACGTCAGGGTACATAAGTTGCCTGGGGGGCACACACTGCTGCCCAGGCCACCCCACACTGCAAAGGACTATCTGCAGATTCCCTGTGGTGCTCCTCTAGAAAGGGCAGGGTCCTGGCACTTGCTAGGGGCACTTGCTGAAAATCCAGCATGCCCAGGGTGCCTGGGCAGGTGAGGAACTGCCCCAGGCTCCCCACCCCCACACCCGGGGCCCCCGAAGACTCTGCGAGGCAGTGGGCAGTGCCTGTGAGTGCCATCATCCACAACAGGCTTTGTTTCCCAGCCTGTAGAGCAGCAGGGAAGGTGGTGGTGGTGGGGGGTGGTTGTTGTGTGTGTGTTTTTTTCCTTTAAGGGGTAAGAAATTAAATAAAAGATTCTCACACCTCGGCAATATGTTTCTACTTACGGTGTGTCCTAGCACCTGACCAGCAGGCGGGTGGGTTGTAAAGTGTCTGCAGGTACTAGTGGAATGGGAGATGAGGACCCCTGTGGGGACCCCGGGATGGAGGCCACCCTCCTGCGTTGCTTGCAGAGAATCTCACACTTTTCCCTTTTAAAACACATGGTGTTCCTTTTTAATAATGGCAGTGGCTCCAGATTGGAAAGGGGGGAGGAAAAAACTTTTAAAGGCCCCAGCTCTGCAGGAAAGGCAGGGAGGCAGGGAGTGAGAGTAGGGGGCTGTCCAAGAGACTAGCCCAGGGATCTGCTTTAGGTAGCCTTCTAGGAGGCCCACAAAATCAGGCCAAGGGCCCCCCAACCTCAGTAGGCTGTTCCCAGCTGCTTCTCCTGGCTGGAATGTATATCCCAGTCCTGAGTGCCTTGGCCCATTGTTTGGGGAGGCCTGGAGGGAGTGAGGAGCCAGTTGGGACCCTAGAGCTGGGAGGGGCTGTAATCTAAGTTTTTAGGCACTCTGGACCTCATGATCTGGTCTCATTAATCTCCCCAGCAGGTAGAATATATTTTCCTCCCATTTTATAGAAGAAGAAACTGAGAACAGGAGAGGGAGTGGAAGCCAGTTGCCCACATGCTCCAGTTGGGATTGGCACCCACATCCCAGGAGGAGAAGGCCTCCCTCTGACCTTTCTTGCTGGAGCTTGTTGGGGAGGGGGGTTGGCCTGTCCAGGCCCGCCTGGCCTTGCCCTCTCGCCCCGGCCCCCGCCCAGCCCTAAGAGGGCAGCTGCAACTGCTGGCAAGCCAGCAACGCCAGCCTAGGCCAGGAGGGTGTGGTAGAAGGGCAGGACCCCCCAGAGACCCCCTTCCTGACTAGGCCGTGATGATGGGTGGGGGGCAGGAGGGATATGACCCATCCCCCAAGGGTTGGGAATGGGCCTGGGGTCTGGGCAGGCCTGGCCGTGCCTCCCACCCTGCTGGGGGGAGCCCAGGCAGGAAGCGGTGGGTGGGCCAGGGCAGAGATGCTGGCACGCCCGTGTTCATGCCGGAGGAATTCCGAATTAGTGAGCGGCTGGCTGCCTGGGACCTCCGGAACGGCCCCCTGGCCCCCGCCCCCGGCCGCCCCCGCCTCTTCAGCTCTGGCCCGCTCAGCCAGCTCCTTCGCACGGATGCTGAGACCTCCGGAGAGCCCTGGGCCAAGCCTCAAACACAACTGTGATCCCAGGCTCCAGCAAGACATGGCTCTCAAGCCAAGTTTGCCCCGGAAAATCATCAGGGCTGGCCCCTGGAACCGTATTCACCCTACCTCTCCTATCTGGGGCAGTGAAGGGCAGCACAAGGCATTTGCTGGCATTCAGGGGACCTCCCAGAGGGCCAGGATCACCCTGTCCTTGGCTGCCATCTCAGGGAAGCTGGGCTGCCCCACCCTTCTGCCCCACTGCAGTCCCTTCTTACAGCTGCCTGGGGATCCTATTAAAATGTAAACCCCTCCCCTGTTGCAAAATGTAACTCCTCCCTGCCAGTCCGGCCCCTGCTGACCTCTCAGACCTCATTTCATACTGTTCCTGCCCCAGGACTTTTGCACTTGATGCTCCCACTGCCTGGATAGTCTCTCTTACATATTTTCATGGCTACTTCTTCTATTCATATCTCAGCTCAAATGCCACCTCCCAGCAGGCCTCCTGGGTCATTGAGCCAATACTACTGATTTGTGCTTTACTTTCTCCCTATTTATTCTCTTAGATATTTATTTGTTCTTTTTTCCTGCTGCTCCCTTGGATTCAAGGCCCACCAGGGTAGGAATCTTGGGTATCTTGGTCACCATGGTGCCCAGAGCTCCTGGCACACTGTAGGTGCTCGATGAATGAAAGATTGAACAAATGAGTCCCAAAACTGCTCTTGGAGGGACAGGCTCCTTCCCAGAGACTCAAAGTAGTGACTGGACCAAGATTCCACAGTGAGCTAGAGGTCAGCCTGACTTAAAGGTCCCACAGGGTTGTCCTTACCACAATATTTTCATTCTTCTCAAACGTGTGCAGTTGATACCATGATGCTCACTTGCCAGATGGGGAGACTGAGACTCAGAGAGGAGTGTCAGGGGCTTGAACACGTTTTCTGGGCCTTGATTACCCTGTGGGTAAAACAAGATCCTTTTAGGTTCTGAACTCCAAAAGGGGGAGCCCTGGGCTGCCCTAATGACCAGAAGGAGGGGAGTCATAGACCATGGCATCCCCAAAGCCCCAGTTCCCAGTACCCAACTCACGCAACTCAGTTTAGGAAGTCACTTCCCAGAAGCTGATCATCATAATGGCCCTGGGAACTGTGAACTTTTTTGTTCCCATTTTCCAGATTAGGAAAACTGAGTCAAGGGACAGGTGATAATATCAAGTCCCTTTGGATGGGTTTGGGGGCCTAGAGCTTGCCGCAGCCACTTTCCATTCTAACACAGAGCAGGGCTTTGGAGCCTGACAAATCTAGTTTTAAATAGAGTGTTCTTCAGTCATTGATTTTAGGCAGGGAACGTGACCTCTCACAGCCTTTTTCATCCACAAAATGAACAGGATTCTCATAGGGACCCCACCCCCACCCCACAGAGACACATACTGTGTGCGAGACCCTGGTGATATGAGAGCAAAAACACAATCTTATTTCTAATTGCCAAAAATAAAATAAAATGAAAAAGAAAAAGCAGAGTATAGAGTTTGTCAAAGCAAGGGTGACTTGGGTTTGAGTGGGCATTTCTACCTTATGTTTGTAACCACTCAGAGGCTTGAGCAGGTCAGTGATGAAGTGGATTGGAAGGAACTAACTGAGCCTCAGTTCCCTTATCTGTAAAATGGGGACAATAGTAAAGAGCTCCTTTGCCGGACTGCCATGAGTCTTGGAGGTCCTAGCATGGTGGGGGCTCAGGAAAGCTCTATTTCAGGCCTGACACGTACTCCTCTCTGACCCCAGACACTGCTGTGATCAGCCCCCAGGATCCCACGCTCCTCATCGGCTCCTCCCTGCAGGCCACGTGCTCAGTGCATGGGGACCCACCTGGCCCCACCGCTGAGGGCCTCTACTGGACCCTCAATGGGCGTCGCCTGCCCCCCGAGCTCTCCCGCGTGCTCAATGCCTCCACCCTGGCCCTCGCCCTGGCCAACCTCAACGGATCCAGGCAGCAGTCAGGGGACAACCTCGTGTGCCACGCACGTGACGGCAGCATCCTGGCCGGCTCCTGCCTCTATGTTGGCCGTAAGTGGCCCCCAGGATGCTCAGGGGTAGCTCTTGGGAGCATCTCCTTCTGGAGAGGGGCATGAATCGTGGGCCTGAATCCAGGGGCATGAATCCAGCCTAGGGCTGGACAGTGGGCACCCACACTGGCGCAGGTTGAGAGGTATGAGCCTCTGGGGAGGGAATGAGAGCCTGGAGGACATCCCTACCCCCCCCCCAACCATCTCCAAGATAGCTTATCCAGGGGGTCATGCCAATATGCACCCTTGTCCACCCCCCTTCCACTCCAAGGTGGGGGCTGGCTGGCGGCCAGCAGCAACTCCGCCTGTCCATGGCTGGCCTAGACCCTCAGCCCCTGCACCCCCTCCCCAGTGCCCCCAGAGAAACCCTTCAACATCAGTTGCTGGTCCAAGAACATGAAAGACCTGACATGCCGCTGGACACCGGGGGCCCATGGGGAGACCTTCCTCCATACCAACTACTCCTTGAAGTACAAGCTGAGGTTGGTTGTGGCCCTCAGTGACATATGTCCCAGACTGGCTGTGTGGCCTTTGCCAAGCCCATCCGCCCTGAGCCTGGTGTCCCATCTGTACTTTGGGGCTGCCCTGGTGATGTCTGAGGCCTTGAAGGGGCCCTCATGTGTCCTCATCCCCCTCCTGCCCCTGCAGGTGGTATGGGCAAGACAACACATGTGAGGAGTACCACACAGTGGGACCCTACTCCTGCCACATTCCCAAGGACCTGGCCCTCTTTACGCCCTACGAGATCTGGGTAGAAGCCACCAACCGGCTGGGCTCAGCCCGCTCAGATGTGCTCACACTGGACATCCTGGATGTGGGTGAGGCGCCCCCCTCAAAGATGATCCTGCCCCCCCCCAAACCCAGCCACAGCTGCATCTTTGGTCCTAACCCGGCTGGTCAGGGTTGGGAGTACCCATTTGTCCTCAGCCCCCTGAAGCAGCCAGGATACCCCTACTCTTTAGAGAACACCTGGCCTGTCCTCCTCCCCTCAGCAGCCCAGGTGTGCAGGAGGCCCCCCCCGGGGGGGCTGGGAAGGGGCGCCCAGGTCAGAGGCGCCCCAGGAAGCTGCAGCCTGGAGCTGGGGGGGTGGCGCAGAGGCAGGAGGCAGGAAATGGATGATCTGCAGCAGAATTGGGCCTAATCTAATTAGGGTGTTGCTCAGCCTGGAGCAGGCCTGTGCCTTAACCCTTTCCGGCCTCTCACCAAGGCCTCAGGGGGAGAGCCAGCTATCCCTGCTTCCCACCAGGCTCCCAGAAGAATTCTCAAATCCCTCCAGGCTTGTAGCCATCCTGACCCCAGCCTGATTTCCGCATGGCTTCCTTAAGGACCGAAGTTGTAGTGGGCATGTTCTCAGCTTCAGTTGTCCTTTTTTTCTGAACCCAGGTTGTCATATCCAGGACTTGGGAGGTAGATGGTGACCGCCCCAGGCCTCTTGGGTATAATAATAATAATAATATCATAGGCCAGGCAGTGTCTGCTTTTACAGAGTTCCCTAAAGATAGGATTACATTTCTCCTGTCACAGATAATAATGGTGATAACAGCTAACATTAATTGAGTGCTTCTAGGCGCTGAGTGTTTCCCGAATATTGTCTAATGTAATCCACCAGTCCTCCAGAGGGCGGGGGTGGGGGGTAGGGGGAGGAACGGAAGCAGGTGCCACCTAAGCCACGTACTCTGGGATTTGAACACAGAGAGGGGGCAGCCAGGAACTAGAAGCCCATGACTAAGTCCCCCCCTGCCCCCGCAGTGACCACTGATCCCCCGCCCGACGTGCATGTGAGCCGCGTTGGGGGCCTGGAGGACCAGCTGAGCGTGCGCTGGGTTTCCCCGCCGGCTCTCAAGGACTTCCTTTTCCAAGCCAAGTACCAGATCCGCTACCGCGTGGAAGACAGCGTGGATTGGAAGGTGTCCGCCCCGGCCCCGCCCCCGGCCCTACCCCTGGCCCCGCCTCACCCTAGCCTCTGACCCTGCCCTTGCGGCCCAGGTGGTGGACGACGTGAGCAACCAGACTTCATGCCGCCTGGCGGGCCTGAAGCCGGGCACTGTCTACTTCGTGCAAGTGCGCTGCAACCCCTTTGGGATCTACGGCTCCAAAAAGGCAGGGATCTGGAGCGAGTGGAGCCACCCAACAGCTGCCTCCACCCCCCGCAGTGGTGAGCACCCCAACAGGGCTGGGTGGGCCGGGGACCAGCCCCAAACCAGCCTGGGCTTCTGTTTTGTTTCCTCCAAGAGAGCAGAGGTCTCAAACTGGTGGCCCTCCGTGGGTCGAATGTGGCCCCTGGATCAATTTCCTTTGGCTTGTCATTTGACCAAAAAAACCAAAAAACAAAAACCAAAACCACCTTTGATCTACTTGCAGACATTTAAAACAGGAAGTTTTAACACAAATATCCTAGATTCCCTAGAAAAATTGTCTAGGAAATGTAACAGAAAATAGCTAGCGTTGCTCTACAGCCCCCATCAGCAAAGGCTGCCCTTTCATGTGGGATCCTCTCTCTCCAGTTGCCCCACCCCCAGCTGGTGAGTTTCATCCACCTATACCCACTTCCTAGCCCCTAAGGGCAAGTAAGTTTGAGACCCTGCTTCCAAGGCTGATGGGCTGCCAATTCTCCCTCTGACGGGCCTCAGTTTCCCCTTCTGATCCAGGTAGGGGGTCGGATATAATCGGGGACCTGGGTCTGACTCCCTTTGCCATCTGGGGTTCCTCTGAAACCACGAACCTCCATTCTCTTCCTTTGTGGAATTATGTGAAATCTATTACTTGAAATGTCCGGCCTCAGCTTCCCCATCTGGAAAGCAGGGATAATAATGGCTCCTGTCTCAGGCTATTGTGCAGGTGAGATGAGATAACCCATGGAAAATTCCCTGATGGTGAGCGCCATCTAAAGGTCTCTTCCCCTGCCCCCACCCCCATGGTTTCACCCCAAGGGAGGCCCCTTTTTCTCAGGGGAGGGCATTGAGGCCCCAGGAGGTTCAGCCAGCCCCAAAGGTCACACGGGGATCTTCACTCAGTTTGCGGGAAGTCCAGGCACACGGTCTCGTGGGACGACGGGGAAACCAAAGTTTTAGAGGTTTCCAGGGCCAGGGAGGGGCAGAGCCTGGCTCCAGCTAGCTCCCTATCCCCCATTGTGGGCCTCTCCAGGTTCAGGGGTAGGCGGAACCTAGCATGACCGGGAGGGGCCTGAGCCTTGGCCCCTGCTTGTGCCCAGCACCTGCGATTTTTGCACGGGAGCCAGCAGGAGGCTGCGTCTGCGGAGGAGGCTGGGGAGGCCGGTGGAGGCCAGCAGGGGCGGCAGGGGCCGGGGCCGTGCCAGGGCCTGTCAGCGGGTCCCCGGCATTATTTATGACGTGAGGCCGATGTCCTTATCCGCCGCCTGTTTGGGGCTGGCTGCATCCAGCAGCTGGACCGACAGGCGGGCCTCCCACCTGGCCCTACCCCCCTTCGCTCGCCGTTTCATTGGCTCATGATCCCAGGGCCTGTCTCCTTTTGATTCTGTCACTGTCTTCCCGTCTGTCTTGTCTCTCTGCCTTTCTTGTGTCCCTACTTCCCAGGCTATCTGTCCCCTCCTCCCCAGCCCTTTCTCCACCCCTTCTGCCTCTGAGTTTCCTTGGCTATTCCTCATGTCTTTGGCCCTTCCTGCATCTCTCAGTCTCTGCCTCTGCTTCTTTCTTTCTCTGACTTCCCGCTCTGTCTCTGTCTCATCCCTCTCACTTTCTCCCTCACCCCCTTCCACTTACACCTGACTCAGGCAACAGGAATTGGGTTCCTGGAAGACATGCGGAGAGAGAGACCCTTGCTTCCCCTGACCCAGCCCACTCAGGGTCGCAGCTGAGTTGCTGGGCTGGGTGGTGGGGAGGACCCGGTCCAGGGAAATAGGGAGGGGTAGGTGACCGAGGGAATGCAGTCCACTGCGCGAGGACCCTCCCTCCATTGCCCGCGCGCGCCCTCTGGCGAGCGCGCCTTGACGCTGCTGCTCCACCCCCGTCAGAACGCCCGGGCCCGGGCGGCGGGGCGTGCGAGCCGCGGGGCGGAGAGCCGAGCTCGGGGCCCGTGCGGCGCGAGCTTAAGCAGTTCCTGGGCTGGCTTAAGAAGCACGCGTACTGCTCGAACCTCAGCTTCCGCCTCTACGACCAATGGCGAGCCTGGATGCAAAAGTCGCATAAGACCCGCAACCAGGTAGGAAGGAGGCACCCGCGGGCGAGGGGTGAGGGTAAGGAGGGCTGAGGGCTGAGGGGTGGGGTGGGTGGGGAGGTAGGTGCGCAACCTCCAGACACCACCTCCTTCCTTCCAAGCACAGGATGAGGGGATCCTGCCCTCGGGCAGACGCGGCGCGGCGAGAGGTAAGGGGGGCTAAGGTGGGTGGGTGACAGGAAGGGAGACATGGGCCCCCCACCCTCAGCCTTCAGTTTTATTTATCAGCATCTACTTAGCAGCTACTGTGTGCTTGGCCCTTTTAGCCTAGTAAGAACACCCGATCCTCTGAAAATATCCAAAGTGGAATGTCATCCTCAGGAATGAATGAATATATTCGCCGAAGTTAGCGTGTTTGAGCACCTACTGCATACTGGCCCTGTACCAAGGGCTTTACCTGAAAGACAACCCCTGGGATGGATATTCTTATTTCTCAGGTGGGGAGCCAAGACCCAGGGAGAGGCAGTACCCTGCCCTAGGTCACCCAGCTGAAAGTGGCAAGACCACAACCTGAATGGGGGCCTCAGTTGCTCTGTGGTGCTGGCCCCTCCCAGGCTCAGTGCTTAGCCTGGCTTCCCCTCTGCTTGCAGGTCCTGCCAGATAAGCTCTAAGGGCTGAGACCGACCTCCCTGCTGCATGGAGACCCGGGGCTGCACCCAGACTGGGGCCACCTGTTTCCTCACCACAGGGTGCCCGAGCACCCTCTGCAGGAGCTGGAGCAGATGCTCTGAGCTCTTAGAATCACATCTCTGGCCTCCATGTGAGGCCATCTTTGGGTACACCCCAGTTGGAGTGTGTGTGTGAAGGTCAACCAAGCTGCCCAGAACCCCTGCCAGGACTGGGAGTGAAGAGAGGTCATTACTCCCCTCACCCAGGACCCCTCCAATCTTTTTAAATAAATGAACTATTTAGGTGCTCTGATTGTGTAGGTGAGTTTGGAGCTGCAGTGGCCTGCAGTGGGGTGGGGACTGTAGGGGAGGCATGAGGACTTCTAATGATCCTTTGCAATTGAAATCCTCGCCCTCAGAATTTCAGATTCTTATTCTCCAGGATCTGAAATAGCTGGTGTTAAACTCCTTGGAGAGTGTGATTCAAAACACTAGTTTCTTCAGTTGGGAGAGGGGGTTCCACCCTCCATCTCTGCCCCTATGGGGCCCTGTCCCCAGACGCAACCCCACCAGTACCGTAGGACACAGACAGTGGAGCAGCTGCAGACAAATGCTTCTTTATTGTGGGAGATGTGGCAACCTCAGGGAGGGTCAACAGCCCAGCGGGGTGCAACCCTGGCCAGCTGGCAATCAGAGTTGATCTGGGTGCCACCTGCCCCATTTTCCATCTCCCTTCAGTGCGTCTCTGAGGAGCCATGATCACTCGACAGATTCTGCATCAAACCTGAGGTCCTGGAGAACCTCACTGATGGCCTCCATGGTTTTAATTACCCTAAAAGAGGATAGGAACTATAAATAAAACCCAGATGGGGCGAATTAGCCTCCACTAGGCAGCTCTGAGGGGGCTATGACAAACCCTGGGCCCTCCTGCCTGCTGCCAAGCCTCCAGGCAGCACTAGCAGCTGGGAGGACCACTTGGGTGCTTGGGAGCAGGGATAGTCCCTTAAGTCACAGTGGGCAAAGAGAAATGGCCATCTTGGGTAGGTGTATGCCATCAGGAGGTATGACTGGCAGATGTCAAGGGGGTGTGCATGTGTGCGTGCTTGGGTGGGTGAGGGCAGGAATGTGGAGGTGTGTGCCGGGGGGTGGGCCTGGGTGACCGTGTCCAAGCTCTGAGTCCAGCCATGTGAACAAGATTGGTGTGTGTATCTGAGATGCACAGTGAGTCTGGTGTGAAAATGGAGAATGTATACACTGGGGAAATATATGCTGTGTGTCTGGGAGCCATCAGGTGTGGACTCCAGTGTACCTACTCTTAGGGTTGTGTGTAGGTCCAGAGGGTCTGATGGTGCCAGCCCTAGGGCACACCTGGTACATGTGCAAATCTAGCATGGCTAGCCCACTGGGAGGTGACACTTACTTCATTTTCAGCTGGTGCATCTGGAGGGTGTCCTCCTGCCCTGTTAGTTCTGGCACCCTCATCAGTTGCAGCAGGGCCACCTAGTATGGGGAGGATGTCACAGTGGTCAGAGGCCACCTCCTGCCCTCCCACACATGAGGGAGGTAGTGCAGAGGTTGGGCCATGGCCAAGAGTTGCAAGGGGAGTTGAGAGGGCTGTACTTTGCACAGGAGGAACCTGAGATTCAGTTTAGAGGGACCAACGGGAGAAGAGTAGGCAGGCTCTACAGTATAGAGTGTGGCATGGGCATGGCTGCATGTGGGCAGGGGAATAGTAGTCAGGGATTGGTGTTGGGTGGAGTAGCTGGGGCATCATAGTCTTGGGGCGGGTCAAGGAGTTAATTCCAGCGTGGAAGTAGGCTGAACCGGGATCTCGGAAGTGGGAGTGGCTTCACGTGGACTTGGCCTGGTAAAAGTGTATTTTGGCCAGGATTGGCCGAAGGGGCAGAGTAGGCAGAGCTTTGGAACACTAGTGGAGGAGTAGGCCCCGACCATAGGTTGGGGTCTGGGGTTACAAGGAGGGGACGTGGCTTGAAAACCTACATTCTCCTCCACATGCAAGGGATTGAGGACCGGACCTAAGGCATTAGGAAAGCCAAGAGGCAGGAGGATCGTGGAGGCGGGGCATTTTGGAAAGCATTAAGCTACGGGATAGGACTGGGATGGGTGGACGTGTCCTGGGACTAAAAGCCTGTAATGACACCGGATGGAGAGGTGGGGACCAGGAGACCGGAGAATTCCAAATGAAGCCTTAATGGAAGATTGAAGTGGGCAGGAAAAGGTGGGGTCTGGGACTCTGGGGGCGGGGTTGTGGGGGTCCGGAAAGTGACCCCTCGCCCAAGAGGCTCAAAGTGGGCCAAGGCTAACGCGAGAGAGACTGGGCTTGGAGTAGGGGGCAGCGGCCGGGGGCGGGGCCTCACCGTGGCCAGGCGTGTCTGTTCCAGCTGCTGCAGGCTGCGCACATGGCCCGCGAGCAGCGGCTGCGCTCGGGGCCCGGCCAGCTCGGCCTCCACCGCCAGCACCTCCCGCGAAACGGCGGCGAAGGCCTGGGTCACCTCGTGCACTTTGCTCCGGTAGCGCGGGAAGTCGTAGGGCGGGCCGCTGCGCAGGTACTGGCGGTGGCCTCTGCGGCAGGTGGGAGTCCTGAGTCTACGTCCCCAGGCTCTGTACCCGCATCGGCCACCTGAAAGCCCCCCAGGAAGTGTCCCTGGACCCGAGTGTGGAAGACACTGATTTCTGCAAGTGAACCCAATAGAGGCCCACTCCGCTTGGGGAAGAGAGAGACACCCGGCGGAGTGGCATTTCGGGAAGTGGGGACGCTTAGCGGGTTGGCCCACAAACCCCGCCCCTGACAATGCCCCTACGCGAGGACCCGCTCTGCCCCGGGCACGCCCACCTCTGGATCCGGCGGGGGTTGAACCCTGCGGCCCCTGCGCCCACACTTACTCCTCTAGCCAGCGGAAGGCCTGTGCGCGCTCAGCCTGCAACTGGAGGATGCGCTGCACCAGCGCCCGGATCGGGGCATCTTTCTACGGAAGGGGGTACGGCTGGGGCATGAAGCCGGCGCCCCCGAGCCTGCACCACCCGCCCTGCGCCTTTTCCCACTCGGGCTCACCCAGGGCCACGCCGGCTCCTCGAGCTCCGGGGTTTCTGAGGCTGCCGCAGGTTTGGGCACAGTGGGGACCACGGACTCTGCCGCGGACTCGTTGGTGATCATGACTACGCAGCCCTGGCCCTGCCAGGGAGTAGGTTGCTCCGCTGCGGTAGGCGCCCCCTTCAGGCATGGAGGTCTCCAGATCCCAGCCTGTGGCCCGCCAACCCGGAAACCTGAAGACCGGAATATCCTGGGAAGAATGGAGAGCGAATTGGGGGCTTCTCAGGCCAGGCACCCATCCCCACCCCACCCTTTTGCTTGCTCCCGCCCAGCGCCTGCTTTCTCCTGTTTATTCTTGAATATATGGCTGTGTACAGCAAGGCTGTCCCTTCGGTTTGTAGGTTTGTTTCTATTCGCTTGTCAACACCAACTTCCTTTCATCCTCACAACCTGTGACAAGAGCAGGATTTCAACGCCCTTCGACATTAGAGAGCTCGTCTCTGGAACCCAGCTGACTTTAGATGACTTGCAGGCTGTTACTTCAGAAATGACCTCAGAGGGAAGCCTGGGGGAAGAGGTGTGGCCAACAGGGCCTCATACTAAGCGCAGAGGCAGTCTCTGAGCTTTCTGCGGGAGATGCACTACCTAGTTTGAACTAAGAAGCTTCCTTCTCCAGGGGTGGACATGGGGAAGACCAGATAGTGGTGGCCTGGCCTAATGAGGAAGAGGTCAGTTTGACACGGATGAAATGGAAGTGAGCTGTGGAAGTGATCGAGACTCTAGCCTTTAGCTGGCACTGCAGATCTCAGCTACTCTTAGGCGTTTTCCAGGCCTGGGTTACCTACTCCAAGCACCCTAAAAGTTTGACCATGTCAGGGCCAGTACAGTGCACAACCCTCACCTGATTTGCAGAAGCATCAGAGTCAATAGGCCTGAGATGACTGGTCTCAGGTAGGGCCCATGTGCGTCTAAGGTCCAAAATTGAGAACAGGTGTTTTATACTAGGTGGGGTACCCCTTCCTCCCCATCCACCCACACATGAACATACCCAGGGCCCAGCTGATCCACAGTCTCACCTTGTTATAGATAAAACCCAGATGAGTGGGCTCACAAGGGACTAAACCTGATTGTGCTGTTATGACAAACCTCCAGACAAGAAGAGCCAGGAGTATAGCCTGTTTTATAGATAGCTGGAACCCAAAAGGACAGGACTGCCAAGGGCTTGGCAGTCAAGTAACAGCCAAGTCCCAAAGGGAGATGTCTACAACTTGGTCAAGTCCCCATTGCAAAGACAAGCCACATGGACACCAATTACTGCTCCAGTCAATCAAAGGGAAACTTTATTGAGGCCCCCGGGCCAAGGGGTTTAGGCAGGTGGCCGCCCTGCGGGCTGAGGCGGCGGAGAGACCTTATTTGACCTTCTTCTTGGGACGTAGGTTGTTGGTGTGGCCACACTTCTTCTTCCGGCAGTTGACAGCACGGGGATGCAGGCGGGCATAACACCTGTGTGGGAAAAGGAGGAACTGGTGAGGGCACCAGACCCCCTCCTGCCAGGGCCAGTCTGCCCAACCCCAAGTGTGCATACTTGCGGCAGATCATCTTGTCGCAGTTGTACTTCTGGGCAAGCTGGCGGAGGGAGGGCTCAATGATGCCGCCCCGCAGACGAAGCACCAAGTGCAGGGTGGACTCTATAGGCAACGAGGGTTGGAGAGAGACAGCAACTCAGCCTGGACCCAGCACTCAGTCAACAGGTGCAGGGCTGGCACTCCAATGCTCTGTAGACCATGGCTTCTCAAGTATGAAAGGGACATGTCAGAATCCCTTGGGTGATTCTGACACCAGCCCTTGGAGAGTTGGAGGATATTACACGCGAAAGTGATGTCCAGGTGGGTTTCCTGACAGGCAAAGGTGATTTCTAAGTGGTAAGAGGGTAACCTTTCAGTTTTGTTAGGGAAGATAAAGCTTATTGCTTCAAGGAGTGATTTCCTTTACAGTTATCACATTTTTAAACATGTCTAAAAAAAAAAAAAAGGTGAACAAGAACATGGGAAATGATTGCCATTTGGAAACACGTTGAGATCACAGGACACTTTCCAACGATGAAAACAGTATCTTGTAAAGCAGAACTCGCCTACCCGCTCTGATCCTCACTTTAAGAACCATCCTCCCAAACCCTTTCCTGGTGCCAACAAGGCTGTCAAGTGCCCCATCTGGATCCTAGGCTTCATGGAGACCTGTCCAGCCACCACATCCCCAATACCTTTCTGGATATTATAGTCTGAGAGAGTGCGGCCATCCTCCAGCTGTTTGCCCGCAAAAATCAGACGCTGCTGGTCAGGTGGGATGCCTAGAGAGAAAGCAGCTGTTACTGAGGCTCTGGCAAACATTACTGGTAGTTCTCCCTCACTCTATAGGCCTGCTCGATCATTATTCCTAATCTATCAAAAGGGAAACTGAGGCAGAGATGACAAGCTGCCTGAGATTACGCAGAAGCACTGTCAAAACTGAGGTCTGTCCAAGGCCAACACCCAGACCCAGCCCAACTCACCCTCCTTGTCTTGGATTTTAGCTTTGACGTTTTCAATGGTGTCACTGGGCTCGACCTCAAGTGTGATGGTCTTGCCTGTCAGGGTCTTCACAAAGATCTGCATCTCTGCGTTTGCTGGGGAGACTGGAGGGGAGTAGGACAAAGCAGTGAGTAATGCGGGTCCAAACATTGCATTGACCTCAACTACAGGTCTGCCCCAGTGCCTGTCTCTTTCCACCCCTCCAAGCTACAGATGGAATGAGAAATACAAGGCTAAGGCACCATCTTGCCAGATACATTTTCCCCATGTGTGATCTGGAGATCCCATCCATCCATCCATCCATCCTTCCTTCCTTCCTCCCTCTCTTCCACGAGCCCATAGCTGTATCTGCTCCACAAAATGCCCTTCCTGCAGCTTGGACTGGAATCCCATCTTGGGAGCCACCCCCTAAACCCTTTCTTTTCCAACTCCAAGCTCAAACTCACTCTGGTTTCCTTCTCAGTTACCCCTAAACTTCTCAGATCATACCTCTTGTCTTTGTACCAACCCATAACTACCTGCCAACTAAGTGCCAGATATTTGTTTACACAGGTTTTTTCATCGGAAAAAAATAAAAAAAGCCTACAAGGTGGACACCACCAGCCTCTCCTTACAGATGTAGAAAAAATAGGTAATGACTCAGCCTGTGATCGGGGGTAATAATTTTAAAGGAACTGACACTATCTGGCACGGAGACAATTTACATGCTTAATACTCCTCCCCATTAACTTGGATCTCCCCAAGAGGACCCATCCCTGACCCAAGGCCTCGTCGGATAGCTCAGGCAGGTGGCGCGGGCAAGCCACTCTCCTAAAAGCCGGTTCACCTCCCGGGGTTCAGCCGGGACTCGGAACACCGGCCCAATGCTCCCTATTCAGCCGACTCGCGGAACCTGGCCCGCACGGATGGATTCGGGGCAGCCCCCTGCGCTGCTCGAGCCCCCGTGGCCCTCGCAGCTTCCTGCCCGATCCCGGCCCAGCGCGAACCCGCACGAACGCCGGCCCCGACCTGCTCGGCCGCCTCGTTGAAGAGAAAGAGAGCGGCGGAACCGGAAACCGCCAAATCGCCGCAGAAAGCGCCTGCGCACCGAGCACGCCGCGCGCTTGCGTCACAATACGCGCCGCGCGCTGTGCCCCGCCCTTGGCCCCGCCCCGCTGCTATGTTCAGTGCTGCCGAACGAAGGGGTGGTGCCTGCGAGCGAGCGTCTTGCGACCTCTTGCTTCTGGGTGTGGGTTCGCCCCCGGGTCACATGAGGAGACAGCTACACCTCCCCAGGCCTTTCTACCTGCCGTCTCAGGTCGGCTGAAGATAGCACGTTGCTGGTGCTCGGGTACTTGAGTAGATTCTTTTGTGCTAAAGCGAAGGCATTAAGCAGAGGGTCTGTAGGCCCAGGACGCAGGCTTGTGTGGCAGGGAAGGTAGGAGGACGTGCAGGGGCGGGACCCCTGAGGGCCACCCAGGAACCTAACTCCTGGAGTCAGTTATTTGCAGTCAGCTCTCCATTCGCTGTGCGCGGAAGGATTTCAGGGCGGTGCTTCGAAGAGCAAGAAGCTTGTGGGGCTGGTGCATTAACTCAAGTAAACAGAGACCCAGGGGCTGTATTGGATGTAGGAACCAGGAGACTCGTGAATGGCTAAGAAGTGCCAGGTACGGGAAAGAGGTGAGGATGAAGTTACTTGTGGATTTGGCAGCGTACCTCTTTATTAAACTCTTCCCCGCGCCTCTGTGGACCAGGCAAAAGCAGACACTCTCGGGTCTTGGAAGATGCCTTCAATAATGTAATTTCTTAAGTGGTTCAAAGAAGGGACTGTGTGTCTAATGGAGAATGAGACCCAGCTCAGCTCCCTGCAGAGCCTACCCTGTGACATCTGGAGGAGCTAAGGGAACAGTGTTGTGAGCAATGGTAAAAAGAACTTGGGTTATTATGGCTGCCACCACCGGAGATTCGCACCAAGGGCAGCCACATCTCTTTCTGACCCAGTGGTGCCTGGCTGTCAGCACCCCATCCTGTCCCACATACACTGCTTGTCCCCCTTCTGAGCTGATGTACCCAAGGATGGAAGGAAGCCACTCCTAGGTACACCCTTTATAGTAACAGAGTCTTTTTATTGATAACTTCCCAACAGCAACTGTAAACATCGGGTACAAAAATATTCCGTTAAACTCTGATTTCCAAGGTGATTCAGCTTGCTCCACGGAGGCCCCATGATAGGCCTAAAGGGCCCTCAGGGTCCACACCTCTGTTCAGAGAAACGTGAGCCTTACGGCTCAAGGCTGAGCAAATGGGCAGCCTGTCTTGAGCTTTCTATAGCTTTTTCAGAAACCTTGAGATATCAATTAGAGAAAGTATTTAATACTTTCATTGGAGGAAGGGGCAGGGAGTGGGCTGTGGGGAACTCAGACATGATCTTGTTCTACCTCAAGGGGGTCCTGAGGGATGCTGGGACAGGAGTCGTCTGGCTTTGGTCTCTGGGAACCTTTAAGTGTTGTTCAGTGCAGACTTCAGGCCTGCCTCTGGAAAGGCTTCCTTGCACCCAGCCCAACAATTCCAGCTGGTGCTCATCCCTGGCCTGGCACAGGGTCTACAGGAGAGGCAATCAGTGAGGAAGGAGTAGGAATGAGACCCCCAGGAATTCCACACCCTTTATCCCCCAGGGAGCCCAAGAATAAGGTGGCAAAGCTGACCATCTTGAGGCAGGATTACCTTCTGCCACATCAGACACATGAGGAGTGCTGCCACTGCCCTGAGACCCTTTAGAGCGCCTGGGAGCAGGGCTACTCGCCCAGCATCTCCTCATCGTCTGTCTGTCTACGGCCGTTGATGGCAGGGGAGTCGGGCTGGACATGGGACAGGTCCTCAAAGCCAGGGCTGAGGGAGGGAGAGACAGTGTCGGGGCTGGTGTCACAGGAGCCTGTGCTCTGTTCCGAGGTGGCGATGGTGGTCGTGGTGCTGGGTGGGATGGGGTCTTCATCCTCATCCTCCAGGAGGGATGCCTCTGGGACATCTGGGTAAGGAGGCCCAGGAATTGGTCAGTCACTGTAATGAGGGATTAACTGGGCCTGTGATCCCTTACAGCCCCACCCTGCATAGGGCATAACTTGTCCCATTTTATGGAAGAGGGAACTGAGGCCCAGGCAGGTAAGAGGCCTCCCTTTAAGGTGAGACAAGGACCCAGGTTCTCTGGGTCAGGCCAACATGGGCCTTGGCAGAGAGCCTGAGCCTGGCTCTGCCTTCAACTGTGTCACCTGGGTCAGGATTCTGACTTGGCCTTGCCTCAGCTCCTTGCTTGATAAACTGGGGCTGATGATGACAGCATTGCCTCTGTACCTGTGGTTATCAGCAGCCCTTATGTGGGGAGCTACTGGCCCATTCAGCACATGGGGTAACCAAGGCTCAGCTTGGGGGGATGCTGCACTTCCTCTGACAAGTCACTGTCCCTCAGGGCCTCAGTTTCCCCCTGTGTAAAACAGGGACACAGCCCCCAACTCATGGGTGTCTGTAAAACGGGGACACAGCCCCCCAACTCATGGGTAACAGCCTGGCTTGTAGGGCTATGTGGTGCTCACTGGGACAAGGATTGTCATCATTCTTATCCATGTTCCACTGTGCACCTCCCCACAGGCAAGGGACTTTGGTCCCAGCACCCGTGCTGCAGGTTGCCAAGAAGGCCAGGCCAGCACCCGCACCCCCACCCCTATCCCAGGTCTCTGGGCCCACCAGTCCCTGAGGTGACCTTCTGGAAGCCAGCCCTGGGCTGAGGGTGCTGGCATCCAAGGGATGCAGAGGTCAAGACATGGGGCGCAGGAACCCTGGGTGACACTTACGGCTGAAGGCCTCTGGGTGCTGCCTGGCCAGCTTTCCTTTCAGCATCCTGTGGGGTAAGGGAAGGCACATAGGCTGAACCTGTTGAGTGGACATGCTAGGCCCAATGCAGGGCAGCAACCCTTGTGGTTGGCTCTGGGTGGGTGGGCAGTGGGAACCCCTCCCTCACTGCTTGTCACATTCTGTTCCCATGCTGGAGGGAGGCCAAGGCACTTGGCCCTTAGGACCTCTGGTTGGGCACCAGCCACCCAGCTGTCAGTTTCTGTGCGTCCTCGGGCCTGGATTGGGGCACTTGCTGGGCCCTCTATCTGTAATGTCTTTCTGACTTCTAATCCTCATCTATCTGGACAACCTTCTAGGAAGCTTCTCCACCCCTTCCTCAACAGCTGCTCTGGACTACTTGTCTCAATCTGTCCCTCTGTCCTAGGGAGTGAGGCCCATTGGGCCAGGGAATGCTGGCTGCAATCTCATTTACCTCTTCAGAGAAGACCTAGGTGGAGGGCTAGGGA